CAGTTTATTCTGGCATAGCCATGGATACACGAAAAAAAAACATTGCTAGTGCAAAAGTTTGTAACAAAATAAAAACTGCGTTTGATTAAGAATCTAGGCAGATAACTTTGTCAACATGTCCATAGAGATTGGGATCCACTGAACCAAAAAAGGTTTTATGTGAAAGCTGCGAAACTATTTTTATTCCACGAAACCTAAAACCGTTCCGTGTCTGAATACGAAACCATTATGGTTCGGTGGACAATCTTTTTCTTTTTCGGTGTAGTCTGTGATGTTTGTATGGTAACGTCTGTCACGGTCTGTGGAGCGGGGAGGGGGCTTCAAATTTCTACCTCTATACACTTCAACACTTCCTTTCAGTTCATGTTTCAGAAAACACATACTACCATATGTAACGTACACTTCGCCGATATTTTTAAGAAAATAAAAAATAGCGTCCATTCGTGTTCTATCAGCTTAGGAAAAAAAAAGTTCGTTTGAAAACGTAGCTGTGAGGAGCAAAAAGCAAGTTATTCTTTTAGTTTAGCCTATGACGGCCGAATGGTACCTTTTGGGATATTGAGAGACTGTTTCAACAGGAACTCTTTTAAACTAATGTTGAATATCATTTTCATACCACGATAGTTAAGAACACACATTACCCAATTCCTTCTTCTGTCATTCAAAATCAATGCACGTTGCTTACCTACTTTTAGAAACCAGACATAAAGGACAGCAATCTCATCTGAAAGTTTTGACCCATTTCTGCCGGATGTTACCAAAGGTAACATCATAGTATCTGCTTATATCTCATACGTCTACTCCCCATATTGCAACCTGATTATCCCCATGGTTCGGTCGTGAAGAATACGTAGTAGAAGGAATCTTTGCTTCACTACTCCCAGAACCCGGTCGTAACGGATTAGATTGTAGACCGACGGTTAGAATCAAAATAGTAAAGAACAAGAAACTGGCAGTTCACATATGATATTGAAAGGTTTTGCTCCGTCACTCCAAAATATAGCGTCTTTCTGAAGGAGAAATTCTACTTTTTATTTACTGACTTAAAGATTAATAACAAAGTCATATAAAATTTTGCACAAGATAGAATGTGTTTCCACTATCTGGCCGTTTTTCTATTTTAAAAAATTACTACCTCAAGCTTTGTAATGACTTTTACCAAAAAGGTTTGCGCTATCATCCTTCTACAGAGTAGGATGTCTGTCAGCACTGCCTATTTCCAATAAATAACGTCTAGTTACTCACCCTGCACCAACTACATTTTACAAATGTACATAATAAAAGCTTTTGTTGGCGAAGATTCAGTATCATTCATAGAATTTCATTTATTATTTAAGATTTTTTTGAAGATAACCATACGATCTACTCATAGATACCAATATTTTTAGTTCCTTTGATTTCGATGAACAAACAGAAAAGAACAATATATGCTTCAATCGGGAATCGAACCCAAGACCAAATTACTGTTTATCCGAACCAGCGCTTTAGCTATTCATCAGCTATCGAAGTACAACCAGCATATATTCTTCTTTCTGAATGAATTCTTAGCCATCGGAATTTAAAGGAGGTAAAAATATTGGTATCGTATAAAATTACAAATACTCCCTTCTACTCTTTGGATAATACGACCTACTCATTGAAGCATAAAATATCGAATATCTCCCTTACGGCTCGAACAACAGGGCTGATTTTCTTCCCAGTGATAGAGGCATATTCATGGTTTATCTCTATAAGGACGATGTTAGTAAGAAGTCTGATGAGTTGAATTACTGGCGTCAATGAGAAAGTTTTGGCTTTTCACAGACGGGAAAAACCGATACACGATAAAAAAAGAGGCAGTTGATCGGGATAACTTTGAATATAAACCTGCATTTCTTTTTCTTACAAAATGCATACTATGATTCTTTATTGGCGTCAAAAAGGAATAGTAACATGCAGCAATCTATTCTATACACCTGTTTATATGCTTCAAAACAAACAACAATGTCTTGGCATAATTGTTCAAATAGAAAAGATGTTTACTGTCTGATAACTTTTTCCTGATGTCTACGAATGTTTAAGGACAAAAATTCTTTGTTCTTTAGTCATGACTCTCGACATCTAAACGATCATGAACTGGAAACAAGAGCCACACACTAAATAAGATGAATACTAACACAGAAGGCAAAAAAATTTTATCGCACTTGCAAATAATGTAGATTAATACAGAATAGATAAAGAAAAATACGAAGGAAAAAGATATGTAATTAAACAGCACGTAGCAGTCACAAGCTCGTATTGCTAGTTACATTTTAATTTTAGTCAATCAACTCGGTTTTATCGTACATCGTATTTTTCCTGTCTGTGAAAAGTCAGATTATTCTCATTGACGTCAGTAATTCAGCTCATCAAGGCTTCTTACTAACATCGTCCTTATAGAGATAAACCATGAATATGCCTCTACCACTGGGAAGAAAATCAGCCCTGTTGGTCGAGCCGTAAGGGAGATGTTCGATATTTTATTGGTAAAGTGACTTTTGGGCCCGCCTGTAACGAACAGCTAACTTACCGGTTTAAGATGCTATTTTACCTTCAAAGAAGGGTAAGTGAGTCTTTAGACGAGCGCTACTTGTTTTTACAACAATTTCTTGAGTCAAAAGCGAGACAGTACAAAAAAATGTTTCAACATCCAATATCGTCACTGCAGACACAACCTACATTAGTTATGCATCATCTAACATATAGTTTTAGATTTCATTATTGTATACGAACGTACCAAATAATATTAATGGCCGCTCAAGCATCCAATGTAGATGAAAATTCTGAACGCATCCAGTGGATGTGGAACGCTAAGACAGATACATTTTCCGAAGCACCTGAGTGGAAACCGTACTCTGACGTGGAAAACATGATTATTGAGAATGCATATGGTGCAGGCGAGGCTGATACTATATTTGATAACTATCATATCAATTTTAAGAGTAAAGTGAAAATTTCGAACGATGATAATTACAAACAATAGCACGTTCAAAGAGTAGCATATGGCTCAAAGGAAGTTCCCTTACACGAAGAGCGATTCACATTTACTCCGATTAATCCTGAACTTCCCTTCGCTGGTTTATTAGGATAGATCTCGCCGTCCATTAAAGCAACGGCACAACATTTAAAAATCATAGTAAACAAACTGCCTTCAAAAGATAAAAATACGGTGCCTATGATTGTGGCAGACGCTGCTGTGGAATTATTAAGGAAGGTGCACTGGTCGAAAGAAAATGTGAAGGGGAATGGATGGCAAAGATGTTGTTGGAGAAAAAGAATGCAGGAATAAAAGAAGTATGGAAGTGTTGCGCTCACCTTTATTCGTTAGAAAGTTATCTCTATAAAAAAATTAATGAAATAATGCTATTAATAGGAGATGAAGAACATGAACAAGAATGGCGCATGGAAGTTTCAACATTGGGTCCATTTTTGCTTGTTGTTATGGGACAACCCATTTACTGACAAAAGTGCTGAGAGAGGAAAAATACTTTATCGTGCTACCAATCTCAGTGAAGACTTAATTGATGATTTCAAGGAAAACTGCTCTAGCGAAAGTAGACCATCACGCACATTTCCATCGTTTACTTCGTGCAGCCGAAACCGAACTCAAGTGGAAAATTTTGGCAACGCTTTGTTTATTATGACAGTGAGACGTGCGTTTACAGTGGATCTGCAGCCATTTTCAAAATATCCTGGTGAAGAAGAAGAATTACTTTATCCTGGTGTTGGTTTTACGGTTGAACGACTGGAGTTAGATGCACAGAAAAAGAAGCATATGATTTACTTGACATTATTTCAACAATTCACCAGTAAGTTGATCTACTATATCAAAGGAGCATACTCACTGATCTCCTTTCTGTGTGTACATAGAATTTTTAGCAATAGTTTTCCGAGCTCTTAACTTTTGAATCATTCCCATGCAATGCAATATTCTTATTTTTTATGGAACCCAGGAAGTGAGCAAAGGATTCTGTTGTTTTTATTTCACGATTCTTTCCTGGTCAAGATGTATAAATTTTCAAAAATTATGCTCGAAGAAGAATAGATTTTCAAAAACTAAAGCGTGACCATTATTAAATGAAATAAGGTTTATAGAAAGTGTATGAATAATAGAATCTTAAGAACGAGTGACGAATTCCGGAAAATTGTATTTGTTTTGTTTAATGTAGCAATGGAGAAGATCACTCGAAATCATAACTTCTATCAAAATTCGGTGTATCGAAGTCTTCAATGCGCATATAAACTTTAATTATTTTTAATTAAAATGATCTTATTTCAGAAATTGGATTGAGAAAATAGAATTTGTAAGGATGGAACGATCGAAATTTTGAAGTTTAACCCTTTCGGAACCGGTTTAATTTTTATATATACAGTACTGTTCAAACGTTTAAGGCCTTTTTTATTTTTGCAGTATCTCGGCTTCCCTGACAGATAGAGACTTCATCCTTTCGTCAAAAGAAAGCTATCATTAAACTCTACGATATGTGAAAATATCGTTCAGTTTCAACTTATTTTGGCGAAGTTAGGTAGAAAACAGTATTTTTCCTGAAAAACAGAAAAAACGCATCTTCAGTATTTTGTTTTTCGCAACCAAGAGATTTTCGACAAAAAAATTCAAACGGCAATGTCTTGATAGAGAATTTCAAGAGCTATCTACTGACAAAAACATTTTTCACTTTCAATTCTGTCTTCGTACTCAAAGCCCTCTTTTACTGAGAAGGACCGAAATTTTCGGAAAAACTTAGATTTCTAACTCAGAACTAAATATTATGCAAATGTATTATACATCAAAAGATAGAGCGTCAAAAACTGCATAAGATGATGTATTTGAAATTTGATTATGGTCGAATTTTGAGGGACGTTTCTTCAAAAGAAAGTTTTGGAAAACACGGCTTATTCCGATTTTTGACGTTTTAATGACGCTTTAAAGTGTCACCGGTCCCGAAAGGGTTAAAGAGTAGTGTACCCAGAGAAGTAGAATTTATATGTGATATGAAAGTTGACGGATATCTTACCGTCTACGTGTCTCTTGAATGATACCTACACCTAAGAAATAATAATGCACGTATACTTAACAAAATTGACAAGGCATCATCCAAATCTTACACTAAACGTTCCGTCAGCAAACCAGTGATTACAACTTTTTAACACATCCGAATTTGACTTACACGTAAATATAATCATATGATTACTTTTATAAAGAACAAAATCTTCTCCGCGATCTGTTTTTCTCAACACATCAGGTAAACAACTGTTAGGACTTAACGGAACTGCTTCTCTGGGTATACTTTGATTATTAACTACTGCCCAATGTTCCATTGCGGATCTGCTGTATCTGATCTCGAATATGATTCCATGCTCCAACACATTTATGTGCATATACCATGTTGCAATCAGGCCCAGAATCATAGCACATGTGACGGAATAGTTCAGGATAAGCCTTAACACATGA